AAGAAGGAAAAAAGAAAGAAATGAAAAAAAAGATTCCATAAAAAAAGAGAGAGAAAGATAGACAGAGATGAAAGGAAAGAAGTTGAACGAATTAAAAATGATGGTAAAAAATAAAAATCATAAAAAAAATTGATAAAAAAAAAGTACTACTACTATTACTACTACTACTAATAATACTACTACTACTATTAATAATAATAATAATAATAATAATAATAATAATAATAATAGTAATAATAAATAATAATGGATATGAAAAAAAAAACATTCTCACACTCTTTTAATCATTGTTAAATTAATGAATGAATCATGATCCTATCTTAAATAAAAACCAAAAAAAAAAAGAAGAAGATGAAGACGAGTAAATAATAATTAATTCTATATACATACACAAAACTATTATTATATTCATATTTTTGCTTATTGCATATTTAAGAATCTATTTAAACACGAGTGCTAGCGAATATTTAAATTGTATATGAGATGAGGGAAGGAAGGATGGAAGGATGGAAGGTTGGATGGAAGGTTGGATGGAAGGTAGGAATGAGAAAATGAAAGAAAAGATGTTTAGATGAGAAGTTTTGTGAGAGATACGCGCGAGAGGAGAGAGTGGTCGACGGAGGAAACAACAAATGGGTCTTTCCTCCTGAACGAGATACATCATTTTTATTTTTGTTTTTTTTTTTTTCTTCTTGTCTTGTCTTGTCTCAACTATTTCGTCTTCTCTTTCTTGAATTTTTGTTTTATTGAAATTATTTTTTTCTTCTTCTTCAAAATGATCGTCGTCGAAACAGAACAAAATAAAATACACACACACATAAAACAAATATCTTGTACTCTACTCCCCCAAATTGTACGTGGCAATCAAGTTTCGAAATTTTTCACCTTGCGAATCGATCTCTCGAAGAAACTAGGACGACAAAGATTTAAAAGAAAAAAAAAAAAAAAAAAAGAATTTATAGAGAGATCAACATCGAAGGGTTCAAATTTCTTCGATAGTTTGGAAGTTTTGGCACAAATGACTGCGAATGTTAAAAAGCGGCGTCGAACGAAAAGCGTCCGTTTTTCTTCTTTTTTTTATCGAGACACTTAAATATAAATAAAATAAAAATAAAAATAAAATATAATAAAATAAAAAAGTAAAGTAAAAAAAAAAAGAGGAAGATAAGAGAAGCACGCGATATTTTTCAGTCGTAAATAAAAAAAAAAAAAAAAAAACTTAAGCTAGTCGACGCCACGGATAAACAAAAAAAAATATTTTCAGGAATTTCCCCCTCCCCCGTCCGATTAATTATCTGCTCTCTCGTATGGATATGTAATATATTGTATTCGAACACATGCATACATACATACATACATACATACATACATACGCGTCAAAATATTTACGTACATTGTATACAACAAACATAAATGATTTTCAAATCTGAACGCGCGATTTTTAAATTCTCGCGGGGAGAGCGAGGAATAAACAAATTTTTAAGAAAGAAAGAAAGAGAGCAAAAGAGAGAGAGAGAGAGAGTGAGAAAGATAGAAAGAGAGCGCGAAAGAGCGTGAGAAAGAGAGAGAAAGAGAAAAATAATTAATTAAATAAATAAATAAATAAAAAAATTTAACATTAATTAAAATAAAAAGACATCGCTAGGATAGGCGCTTATAACGAGGATACAGAAGAAAAAAAAAAACTTTTAAGAAAGACATTTTAAAATGACATACAAATTACAATTAACAAATTATTCTTCAGATAACAAAAACAAAAAAAAAAGATAAAAAAAAACGAGAATCAAGAAACAAATTCAACGCAAGTTCTATATATCCAAGATTATATAAAAAAATATGGGAAATAGAATTAAAAAGAAAAAAAACAAAAAATGGTCATTTTTAAAATCTACATAAGAAAGCCAAGAGTCAAAGACGAATAGTTGATAGGAGCCGCATGGCCTAACTGCTGCCACTTTAATTAATTAATTAATTAATTACAAACTAATTACTTATAACTTTATTACTACTCGATTAAACTCGATAAAACAACCAACAACAGATGATGATGATGATGTATATATGTATGTTTACGCGTATGCACGTGTATGAAGCGTTCACATTTGTTCACTCATACACATGCACGTGTAAATATACATACCTATATATATATATATATAAATAAATATAAAACAGAGAGAGAAAAAAAAAGGAGTACGTCATGCCACTTTTCAAACTAACTTTTTAGAACGCAGATGACGAATCAGTAGGTATAGCAGAAAATTAATTAAATGAAAAAGATGATTACACACAAAAATAAATTAACAATTAATTATCTTAAATTATTAATTAAATAACATAACATAACATAACATTAAATAATAATAATAATAATAATAAAAATAATAATAATAATAATAATAATAATAATAATAATAATAAAAGAAATTTCTCTTCAAATGAATTGGGAATGATTGATTCACGGCTATAGGATTCGAGTATTTCCAATTGTCCAGTCCAAGATTAAAGAATATAATGCAACAAAAAATATAATTAATTATAAATAATAATAATAATAATAAATAATCTAAACTTAACAAAAAAAAAAAAAAAGTAACAAGATGATAAAAGAAAAATTAAAAAGAAAAGATAGAAACATACGATACGTACATTTACAGGGCGCCGCGTGAATTTTGCAACTCGCAAACGCGGAGAGAAAAAGAGCGAGAGAGAGAGAGAGAGAGAGAGAGAGAAAGAACAAAAAAGTATGAGAGTGTAAAAGAATGAAAAAAGAATGAGAGAGAGAGAGAGAGAGAGAGAGAGAGAGAGAGAAGGATACAAACTCTTTTCTTCGTCGTTCCTTCGATTAAAATTAGAAATAAAAAAATAAATTTATAAATAAATAAAATAATAATTCTTTCGATAACTCCGCGGAGAGAGGTATTTTAAACACGACGGGGCCCTTACGTACATTATTTTCTTCAAGCTTCGTTTTTTCTCTCATTCACTTGAACAAATACACACGTACACACATACAATACACATTGCGACAAAAGAATTGACAAGAAAATTCATCTCAAACGATTTACCTTGCAATAAAAAAAAAAAAATAATTGTAATTAAAGGAAGTAAATTGTGAAGTGAATTTTGTTGAATTTTTTTCGTCGTGATTACCACCTGGCCATTGATTATACTGAAGACATAGAAAAAAAAAAAACCATATGGAGAAATGGGAGACACATGAAAAAGAAAAAAAAAAAAGTAAAAAAAAGTATAAAAAAAGGAGATAATTTGTTAAGCGTTTCGTTTCGCGGAGATCGAAAGACGCGAGACAATCTCTGTGAAATGTACGTATCACATTGTCGAAAGGGTCGAAACGATCGGATCGGTGCCTAGCTCATTTTTCTATACACTGTTCCTTGATTAAGACATGGTCACTTCGTACCTGCTTGCTGCCTGCCTGGTTCGTGTTACATAAATAATACCTACATACATATTTCTAGTCGTACCGAGGTATATCACAAGTTGTGTACTCTCCTCGACATCAAAATAACGTCCAAGCATGTTGCGTACTTTCGTTGTGATAATTCAGACGGTCGAACGAGCGAGCGAGCGAGCGAGCGAGCAAGGGTGTGGAACATTGAACAAAAGAACAAAATCGAAAAGAGTTTGTGTGTGTGTGAGAGAGAGAGAGAGAGAGTTTAAAAAATAAAAGAAAAAAGGTGATGGAAAATTCACCCTCGCTTGTAAATTGTTCTCCGTTCACACATCACACACACACACACACACAAATATACACTTACACATACAGGACAAGCAACTTAAAACATTTTTCTATGATTATCTTAGAGAAAGTTACACGTTTTTATGATCGCTCACACTCACGCTAACAGATTTCAACATACGAAACAAGTATTTACTTTTAAAACACTTACACAACACACAGAACAKACATACATACATAAATTGTATAATTTGTTGCATATCCCGTCGATCGTCGCAAAGTTTCGCGATATTCCCGGAATGTTGATGGTTTCGACAGCTGTTTCGACATGTCTCTCTAGTCTAGGCGTTTCAAAATTTCCTGATGGTTTACATCGAACGTCGTTCACTTCGTAATTGAATTCTCGTCGACGAGGAACTATTTCAAAGTGGATAAAAGAAAGAGAGAGAGAGAGAGAGAGAGTTAAAAGAGAAAGGAAACATTTGATTTGAAATACGTATGTGTGACATACTTGCATTTAATTATAAATAATAAAAAAACAAAAATATAAATAAAAAGGTGAAGATAGACGTTCGATAATAATCGTCCGGAAGGATCATTTTGAAACGGGGACGGCGCAATTACACGTACACGTTTACTTTTAGTGAAATAATTAACAAAAATAAAAATAATAAAGAAAAGAAAAGAAAAGAAAAGAAAAGAAAAGAAAAAAAAAAACCACATAAATAATAAAAAAATAAAATAAAAAATAACGAATAATGGTAAAGAAGCCTCCATCTCTTGTAATATTTTTATTATCGCAAACGTAATTATTACATTATTAAATTATATTAAATAAAGGATTACGCTACTGTTTATTATTTATCGACTAACGTTCAACTAATACTTGTAAATAAATAACGACAAATATTTTATCTATATATTTCCGATCTGGGGGTGTCAGGCGGGGGTGGTGAAATTACCTCTTGTCCACTCTAGGATCGATGATCGTGCGATCATCGTTCGCCTGCCCCTCTATTGTTACACCATTTCAACATTGCATTTAATAAATTATATATTTATTGACTCACTCACCTTTTGACTTACCCCTTTCGTTCATTTTCTTATTTTCCTGATTTATCTTACGTTGAAATATATATATATATTTTTTTCTAATTTCAAGTGAATCAATGTGTTGATTGTTGAAAAAGGTAGGTGATGTTCAATAATAATTCATATGAATTAATCATCAAATGAACGAAAATGATTTCTATTACACATTTCCTTCCGCAACGATTTATTTTCTTTCAAGCATATACAAACGATACAAACTCTTCGTTTCGTAATACAAATTCAAGAATTCTTTTTCAACATAAAATGTGAGTTTGTTCTTAAAGTTAGAAGAGACGAAAATGAATAAAAGTGAATAGTGAATAGGATATGATGAAAGTAGGAAGAACGAATGAAAATGAAATCAAAAAGTGATTAACAGTTAAATAAAAAGAAAATATTAATGAGCAATCGATTATAATATGACTGAAAGTCTATTATTATTTTATGAATTGTTATAAATTATTTCTTGAATAAAGAAAACAAAAAGACTCGGTTGGTTATACTTAAAATTAATTGTGGAAGATTACAAGGAAGCTTCTAACGTTCTCGTTTATCGTAATAATTGAGAGATTGATTCTACGCTTTGATAAATAATGATTCCTCGTACATACACAATACAACAACATACATTCGTGTATAGTTCTCTCTCTAACACGTTGAGAAATGCTCCGTAGGTGTTGGAGGGTTAATTTAACGAATCAAACACAGTTACACGCGAGACTTTCTTTCTTTACAAATGGACACACGTGTGTCAATTGAACAACGAATGAAGATTTTTATCATTTAAACATCAGAATACTTGTACACGATGATTTTCACGATCGCAAATGACGATATTACCATTGGATGTAACAGCAACACCTTCGAGACCTTTGAATTCTCCATCTCCGCTTCCCCAGCCACCAAAAGATTTCAAAAAGTTACCTTCCGGACTGAAGATTTGTATTCGATTGTTTCCGGAATCAGCAACAACGATGTAACCTTGTTCATCGACCGCCACTCCTCTTGGAAACTTAAACTGACCCTCGTCCGAACCTTCGGATCCAAATGAACTCAATACACGACCATTAACGTCGAATATTTGAATCCTATGATTGTTCCCATCGCTTACGATCACACGATTGGTGTTGCTAACCGCTATGTAATGTGGATGTTCTAGTTGACCACGTCCACTACCGCATGATCCAAATTTTCCCACGAATGTTCCGTCCGATTGAAATACCTAAGACGATTATTCGATACCGTGATACACGAACATGACACAATTAATATTAATATCATTATTATAGAAATATTTTTGCAAATTGTATCGTTCTATTGTACAATACTATTATACGTTTTTTTTTTTTTATATGGGTCCCTAATAATATATTGAAAATGATTTTCTTTTAGATGGGATGAAAAATAATTGAATGGGAATTACTGTGATTTCAAAGGAAATGGCCAAAACAATTATTTTTGTTGATATTCGGTGATTAGGGTGGTATTAAATAAATGATTTCATCGACCCACCTGTACCCGGTGATTCTCTTTATCGCAGACATAAATAAATCCAAGAGCATCCGTGGTAATACCCCAGGGATAATTGAATCGTCCGTCTGCGGTACCTTGAGAACCAAAAGCCCTTAGAAAACGTCCAGAAGGATCAAGCACCTGAATCCTATGATTATAACGGTCAGCGATGATATATTGGCCGATTCTGTTAACGGCCACACCTGCGAGGCAGTCGAATTCACCTTCCCCGCTTCCATATGTTCCAAATTCCTTCAGGAAGTTACCGTTACTGTTAAATACCTGGAATTTTTCAATTGCTTTAAACTCTTTTCAGCATTAGCAGAATTAATTTAAAAAAATAGTAAAAAAAAAAAGAAGTAACTCTTACGGTGATTTTTTAATTATCATATTTCTATGGGGACTCGTATCGAATTATTTCCAAAGGAAAATTATCCAACAATTTTTGCAAAATAATATCAAAAGAAATAGCGTAGCCAATCTTGATTCTTTTTTTGTTTTTTTTTTTTCTTTAACACGAGTCTAATTAAATTAAAACGCGCATGGGAAATTTAGACTGGAAACTTTGCATGCACAAAAGAAAAAAAAAGAATCTTAATTCAGTCTCTCGCATCTGAATGAACAAAATGTAAAGAGAAAGAGAATGCTTTCTACAAATGCATAATGTTTGACGAAATTAAAGTTAAATGCGCTTTGTTAGAGTTTCTCTGGTAACATAATAAAAGCTGCATGAAACGCTATCGACTGGATTCTACATATACACACACACACACACACACAGGTGTGTTGAATGAACACGGGGATTGAAAATGGAACTTATCGAGAACTTTTGTTAAATATTTTATCATCACGAATCATCGTAGAAATTATTAATGAAATTACGAGAGTCTCGTACGTGTCCATGTGTGTACGATCATATTCATTTGATTTATTTTATTTGTATTTTGACGACGATTTTTTCTAAATGATTATTTTGATTAAGTTTCGAACAAAATTCTTTAGGTAAAAACAAAATTAGTCATTGTTTTTTTTTTAGAATAAACTATTGTAATGGTAAAATGATAAATCGTCAGATTCTAAACTCTTTTTTTTTTTCATTTTGGAAATACTAATGAAGTACTTAGTAGTCTAGCGATTGGCCTTGGGACATTTGAACGATAGCAGTTGCTGCTGCTGTGGTACCTGCCCGGCTGAAAAGGAATTTTTAATAAAGAAGGTATAGACAATGTTCACAAAAGTCTATACTTTATCTGTATATTATTATTTATATATTCTCTCATATTATATTTGTTTTTTTTTTCTTTTTTTCATACTCTTTTCATCAAAGGGGGTGGGATAACAAGAAAAACAATGCTTCATATAAATGTCTATAAATCACAAAATTCAAGCATTATTATATAGAGACCAAGTGAGTATCATTGTGTTTCTGCGAATTACGTATAAACTAAAAGACAAATTTATCATTCAAGACAAATTTTCATAGTTGGATTTCTCTCTATCATTATCATGTTTTTTTTTTTAATTTTTTAAAATGTGTGTGTATGTTTAATGATTTTCTTCAAAGACGTTCGACGAAATTTAACGTAATTGACGACGATAAATTTCTCCCGACTTTGTTGAAAATTTGGAAATCGTTTTGCTTTCTTTTTTTCTATTTCTTTTTTTACATTTTCTGTTTGTTTTTTTGAATTGGACAAGGGGTTGTTCGGAGAAAACAGAGATAGATAGATAGAGAGAGAAAGAGGCATATGAATCCTCTCTACACGCAGATAATCGGTGTACTTTGATAAGGGCCTTCGTGGGTCGTTGGACGACATCGTTGCTGAAAGTTATTATTTACTTGAACACGATGATTGGAGCTGTCAGCGACGACGATGGTGTTGTCCGGGCCAATCGCAAGGCCTCTTGGCCAAGTAAAGCATCCGGCTTCGCTCCCCCGCATCCCAAACTTAAACAGCTGACGCCGCTTCAGCAGGTAATTACTCCTACAATCGAACACATAGAAATTATAATAAAATGTTCTTTTCTGATTCTCTTGAAAAAGGATCATCAAAGAATTGTTGAAATAAATTTCATAATTTTCAATACACACACAAGAAGTATCCATTTATATGTATACCTGTATATTGTATTATATCAATATACCATATTCCTGTACCATATTCAAATTTGTTTTGGAGAATAATTGAGTAAATTTAATTGGACAGAGTAGGTACTTTTAGCTAACGAACTGTGTTAATTAGGAGTTAATTATAATTAGTGTGTAGAAAATAAAAATAGGTTATTTACGTTCGGGAAGATTGGAGGGAGAGGTAAATAGAATATAGATGAGTTGGATCAATAGTAGTAGCATTAAATGTAGCTGATGTAAGGTTCGTAGGCTAACGTTTAGAATAATTGTTCGAAGGAGGTGATATTTACCTAGTGGAGGAACCTGCTGCCGCGGGTATAACGGGAGCTGCTGTAGGGGACGTGGGGGAGCCTGACGGGTTTTTTTGATCGTCGTCAGAAGATTCGAAGGACGTTTGACCGGTGTGCCTAAGAGGTAGACCCAGCGATAACCTCCTAGAGGTTGCGCTGGCGCTACAAAAAAATCAAATAAAATAAACATAAAATATGGTATTGAAAAGCAGCGTGGGACAAGCAACGAAAAAGCAGGTGTCATTTTAAGAGAAACGATTTAGAATTGATTGTACATCAATTTTGAAAGATGTATTAGTTTTTTTTTATTGGATAGATCCAGTTTGATTTGAACTCATAAATGAAAGTGTACCTGGATGAGGGAATCGAGGTTGTCGTGGAAGGTGGCTCCTTGTCTTTGGCACTACGATTACCGTATTTATTTTTAAGATATCTTGCCCAAGAGCTGAGAGCTGCGCCATCCTTTTCGGTACCTGATCGGTCCCGTTCTGGGCTCGGTTCCCTCGACTTCAAAGCGTGAGTACTACGGCTACGTGCTAGTTCAGAACCGGCGCCGTATTTTGCCGCGAGATAGGCGTTCGGTGATTGGGTGGTTGGGGACGGTGGTTCCTCGTCTAGATCTACCTCGTCGCCCCCGAAATTGTGGGAACTTCTCGAACGTGCCAATCGTTGTCGTCTCTCCTTCAGTGCCGCGTAACGGGACCTGGGTAGAAGGGTTGATGGTTCGGTTGTCGTTGTTGTTGTCTCTGTTTCTCCTATCGCCGAGGCAACGTTCTCTCTCTCCCGTTCTTTCTCTCGTTCCCGTTCCCGTTCCCGTTCTCTCTCCCGTTCCCGTTCCCTTTCTCTCTCCTTCTCCCGTTCTCGCTCTCTTTCTCGTTCTCTTTCTCGCTCTCGTTCTCTTTCCCGCTCTCTCTCGCGTTCTCTCTCGCGTTCTCTCTCCTGTTCCCTCTCTCTCTCCCTCTCTCGTTCCCTCGCTGCCATTGCCGCCTGACTTCTGCTCTTGTTCAAGAACCTGAAACATTACACCGCCACATCCAACGTTTTCCTCAATTCATTCAACTACTTTTCTATTTGACTATTCATTTTGTTGTTTTTTCCCCCCTATTTATCATCTCTTTTGCGTGTATTCGTATAGATTTGTATAATTAGGATTATCGTCATTGGAAATTATTTTAGCCCTTAATTCGACTTCAAACAAATTCATATGTTTGTTAATTTATTTCTAATCGAATTGGGATGGTTTAATCATCATCAAAATCCAAAATGACAACCCTAATAATTTGATGTATGCGTGTATGTGCATATTATGATCAATATTTTGTGAGATTAATCAAATGTTATTCTCGTTTCAGAATGATTCGTTATTGCAATGGTTTTAGTTATGCACGCGAAGCCTACACGAATGTACTTTCGATCGCGCGTACTTTTTCATAGTTTTTTTTGAAATTGATTTAATCTCTATTAAATATAATCCTTCGCGAAATGAAATTATTCTAGGCGCGATGTTACGTGTGTTAGAGTAGTTATCGTATCGATTGTAGGAATATTCAACGCGAATGATTTTATCCGAATAATGTGCACGCGTTTTTGAATATTAATATAGGTAAGTACGTTTTGATGCAGCATTTAACTCAACAAAGTTTTAGAAAGGTGAAAATATTTTGTTAATTATTTCAAATTAAAAATGAATTTTGTTGTTCGAGATTCTCATCGATTCCACCTTCTGTTTTATTCGAATCAATGATTACCTAATTAAATTACTATCATTTGAGAACGAATGGATTGATTTCTTTTTCAATGATATTCTTTCAGAATTTTGTATTTTTTAAATCATCGGATTAATGGTATTTTTTATTTATTTTTTTCTCTAACAAATAGTTAAATTCGATATTTCCATGTAAACATATTTCCCACGATATTATTTTATTTTCGCAGATATTGGTTTTTGAAAGTTAGTCATATGAAAAGCAAAGTGTTTGATATTCGTCCGCTCGATATTCATCCACCCACCCTTTTCTCCACTATACCCCTTTTAACATCGGTCATGAAAAAGTTAGATGATTGTTGCATCGTAAAAGAATTATTGACAAATGGGGAAGAAGCAGATTTGTGTGAATTTTTTTCTGTTTCAATTATTTGTTCTTCTTTTAATCCGAATGATTTCGGAGTAAAACTTTTTTCTACATAAATTCGATAAGCAATGTTAATTATTTTTGGATTGTCGTATCGATTGAAATTAATTCGATTAATTGAAATACTTGTTGACAATATTATTCGCGTTTTTTTTTTAATTATTACCACATAAAGCTATTGTGTTAGAATTTCAAGAGAAACATAAATAAATGAAGAAAATAAAGACATCGATTTTGTTTTTAGTGATCCGATCGATAATTATTTAGATTATTTATTATAATATTAAATTATACTTTTTTTAAAAATAATTTTTGATATGCCATTAGAATTTTCTGGCTGTTATCGACAAGTATTGATTAAGTATCGGTCTGATCACTAATTATGCGTAAAACAGTGATTCCCAAAATGTGTTTTATAAAACTCTGAGATTCTAATTAATTTTGGAATATTTTATAAATTATTCACACTGAACAATTTGTCTAAAATTATTTGTTTAAGTTTTTTTAATTAAGTTGAAACAACTCGTCATTTAATTCAATTTGGTGATGACGTACAAACACTTTGGGAATCCCTGACAGATTGAAGAAAAAAAGAATTGATATAAATACAAATCGTAGATCGTTAGTCTTTTGAAAGCGAATTACTACTCACTATAATTGTGCCAGCCTACACAACATGTAAAGCATTTTGGGAATGATAACGCATTATACCTGACATGAGATCGGCTGATAATTCTTCCACGAGTCGAATTTCTCTCAACGTAGTCCAGTGCCGTATTAAGCGTTTTCAGCATTCCGGAATCAATAAACATGAGTATTAAATAAATTAACCGTATTTCTTTTACTTTTGTTTCACACGATAAGCTTGTTTGTTACAAAAAAATATAATCGGCATTTAGGCATATTCAAAGTTAAACAATAATTAATTGTAAAATTCTTTTTTTGTTTATAGTGTTACCTTTTCCGTTCTTTCAAAAGTTCCTTCTTAATCCGGCACTGAGTGTCATGTTTTTTTTTTTTTTTTTAAATCATGATGTTACTCATGGTGTTACTTCGAGTTCGATAGGGTGAGTTTTATCACTGACCATCATATTATTGTTGATTAATTATTTATTATTGTTCATTCTATAGTTCAATTTGTCAGTGTAATAAATATCTACATTTTTTGTTTTCTTTAATTAAAATAAAAAAATATATATATTTGTTCTTTATTATTCCCCGCTGAAAATGATAAGATGAAAATGCTACTATCAAAGGATATTTAAACTAATCAAAATAATAATCAAAATAATAATAATAATAATAATAATAATAATATAAAATAATAATTAACAAATAATATAAAATATATTATGTACAATTGAAAAACGGGGATGATACATAAAATGATAGATACAAAGATAAAACATTAAACAAATTATTGTACAAAAAAGAATAAAAAAAATTGTCTTGCAAGCGGGTATACACGAAATGAATTTCTTGGTTATTATTATATACGTATATGTACAATAAATATACTGTGAGGACAGTTTTGACAGGGAAATAAATAATACGAGTTATTACAAAGAAAATGCAGTTTATTTACCACACCAACAAACTGACTCTCAAGACGTATGTATGTATGTATTATGTATTTCGCTAAAAAGGAAGATAAGAGCGTAGAAAAACTTAAAAATTAAACTTCGCGATAAGTTTATCGGCAAATGATGGGGGTTACGACAAAGTGTGTTTGTTTCTATGTGTCCGTGTGCAATTTTGGAAAAAATCACACACGACCCGGTAGAGTGCCGATTAAATTTATATATCGCGAATTTTTGTTGTTTCCTTTCTTTCTTTTTTTTTTTTTTTGGGAGGGAACGATTTTGAAAGCTTCGGCTTTTTTTTTTTTATTGCATGGATTTTTCGTAAGCTGCTTTTAAACAGGAGGACGGTTTCTCACTACACTCGTTTCTTTTGTATTTTTTTTGTTTGTATTTTTGTGTTTGCGTGTACGTGTGTGTGTAGTACGTGTGTGTTCCGCGTGTATTCGTTTGTCACATAAATTTGATATAAAAAAAAAACGACAAATAAAATCTTATACGAAAGCTAATTATAATCTAAGAAGAAAAAAAATAAAAATAAAAAGACGCGAGAAGCGTGATCGCGAATAAATTATTAATAAAACAAACAAAATGATGGAGAATCGCGATCTTATCACAATATTTCAAATGCACGTTTTATAATTACGTTTAGAAGCATAATGCAAACGATCAAAGTCTATTGATTGATTAATGTATTCATCCGAACGAGGATGAAACGAAAAAAAAAGAAAATAATCGTCGATGGATTATACAGAACATATTTTGATATTACAGTTATAATCTTAAGCGAGTAAAATGAATGTAATTGTTTTTTTTTTTTTGTATAATATTTTAATTAATTCTTTTGTTTAATCTATTTGAAGGATATTATATGCGTTTTTGCGTCGTGCAAAATGAGAGCAAGATTTATTGTGCGAGATCAAAATGAGGGTTAATTTCAAAATGATGATTCCATTGTCCTTTGCCAATTACATGAATTAATAATATTTTTAGTTTACTACCAATTTGTTCAATTAGGTATTTTTTTTTTTTTTTAAACATGGTAAAATGATGGATTAAGTTAGGAAAAAAATCTGTCATCGATTGCCGAGAACGCGACGTCTATTATTGGACATTTAACGATAACAACAACAACAACAACATTTTACCATATTTTTCCAAAAAGCTGTAAGTGAATAAATACCGGTTATTTGTATGGTAAGAAGTGAGACAACACGACGAAAAACACGATAAATAAATAAGGAAGGAAAGTAGATGAAATGGGGAACTAGGAATGGTAGGAAAGAAGTACGAGAAACGCGTGCGGTTTACGCTAGTAAATATCACTATTTCTTTTTTTCCTTTCTTTTTTTTTTTATAGCAGAAAGTTATAGCCAACAACAACGCTAATAAACTTTCCAATTGTAAACTTTTCTAAAATACAACAGCTGCGAGAGCAGTTACAACAAGGATTACTTTTTGTAAACATACTTTTGGTGGTTTTCATTCGAGCTTAAATATTTAACTCGTAAACCGCTCCGTGTAAAGGGAGGTTGCAGAAGGTGGGTAAAATAGGGCTTGAAAAATTAGAAAAAAAAAAAAACAAAAAAAAAGAAGAAAAATTGAGGGATGCAATGGTTAAAGGAAAAGGTTCATTAGAACACTGTAACACAGTACGGACACACAGAAGACGGTGGTTACCATCTGCATCGGTATACTGATATCAACGTCGGTCGCATCTTCGTGCTCGTCGGATCTTTCGGTTTGTTTAGATCGGTTAGCGTTCGCGATTAACGCGCCGTTCTCGACGTTAGCTCTCGTTACGAGGTCGGTGGTCGTTTGGGAACTATTCGTGCTCGATCTTCCTCTATTTAATTCCGTTTTATCCAAGGGAGATGGAGATGGTTCTTCTTCCGTTCTCGACAAGTTCTGGATAGTTGTTGATTCGTCGTTGTCCTCGTCGTTGACAATCATCCAACCGTTCTCCTCGATGCTCCAATCGTCCTTTTTCAACTCCAATTGTTCTTCTTGGCTTTCGATATTATTTTGTCGAGAGCCTGCCGGAGAATTAGTTCTTTCGGATTCGCTTTCGGACTCGTCCGAAATCAGCCAACCATTTTGACCAATACTACTCTGCCTATAAACTCTGCTTCTCGACGAATTGTCAGGACTCTTGGATTCGTTCAAATTTTCTTTTTCTTCTATCGTAGTTGCAGGCTTAGCAATACTTTCGTCCTCTTCCTGTCCAATCGTAGAATTGATTTCTTGATTTTTGGAGGATTTTATCGATCCGTCCAATTGGACATCTTGATCTGTAACGAGCCAACCATTATCATCAAAAAGTTCCTCCTCAATACTTTTATCGGACACCAGGGAAGAACTACGCGCATTTCTATCACTATCCGATCCTTTATGAATGCTGATCACCGTCCTTTCATCCTCGTCCTCGACCGAGTCCGAAGTTGATTCATCATCCCCAGTTATGGATGCTTCTTCTTCTTCTTCTTCTTCTTCTTCTTCTTCTTCCTCTTGGTCGTCTTCATCATCTTGGTCCTTATCAGTCTTATAATCTCTCGTGTTCTCGTCTTGGAGTTTTTCCGTAACGGTCCTCGAGCCGTTCACCTTACGACAATCCTTGACAACGTCCTCACGTTGGTGCTCGCCGGCCTCGTGATTGCTATCCTCGAGACGACGGTCAGTGATACTATTCACGGATCGGGATGAGGAATGAGATGAGGTATTTGTGGTATTCGTCAATGTCCTTGTCTTCGTCAGATTCGTATTTGTATCGGTCATTGTCTTAACGTCCTTATCATTATTACAGTCTTCCGTTCTAACGAGCTCGCTCGATCCAACGTCCTCGTTAGGCTTACTCGCGTTCATCTTTTCAACACGATTATTTTGTTCCTGTTTTTCTTGTTTATCTTTTTCTTTATCTTTTTCTTTTTCATTTTGTTGTTCGATCAAATTTCTTGTTCCCGATTTATCGTCACCGTCATCGTCCTCGGCACTATCGTCATCGTCGTCTAATTTTGACGTCTTTTCTACGAACCTGCTGGAGGAGTAGCCACCAGTAGACCCTATCGGTACACCACCACCACCCACACCACTTCCTGTCATCGTCGTGCCGCTCGTCGAAGTCGTCATCGTCAGTGGGCTCGTAGGACTCGTCACGATATGCCCGGGACTTCCCCTCGGTGTCGAATACCTAACAATTAGATCGATCGAGTTCTTTTCTAATTTCTTTTTTTGTTTTTTTTTTTTGCTTTGCTTTGCTTTGCTTTCATACATTTTCTCTCTCTCTCTCTCTCTTTATTTTTATCTTTATCTTTCTATCTCTTCTAGTAATATGCTTCTTTTCTTTCTCGACTTTTCTTTTCCGTTTTTATTTTCAAAATGATTATTTGATTCTACGACCACGTTCCTTCGTCATTTTTATTTCTCTTTTATTCTCTTCTCATTTCCTTTTGTCTTATCTTAATGTTTTTCATTTGAATCGCGATATTTTATTTTCTTTATTATATACTTAGGGTGTTTAGGATTAGAAAATAATATGAAAAAATTGTCTCAGATTTCGCGAAACGTATGCACGCACAGATATCAGGTTTCAAAGAAAAAACAAAAACAAAACGAAATTATTGAAATTACGATATGCCGAGTAGTAGTGGCTGGGTTAAAGTTTCCGATCATGTCTTTTGAATTTTTGTAACTTTTTTTTTTTTTTTATACAAGACGACTTAGAACACGCAAAACGAAATGACAAGAAAGGAGGTGAACGTATGCAAATACAATTACCGAATGTTTAACACAAGAAAAAAAAATCGAAAAAAAAAAAAAAAATAATCGACGTGGTTTCGGGATACCACGGGACACAGAACGTTTCGCCGATACGAAAATTTGACTACTTTGACCGATGTCAGTCATGGTTTGTTTATATGCAAAAGCAAACTGATGCGTCAACATCTGTCGACATTATCGCGTCGGCGAATCGTTTTTCCCTATAACCGGTACAACGTTGGCTGGTCATCCAATTTTCAATGCGTCCAAAAATCTGTTTCCAAATGTCACTCATTTAAATTGAATTTCAAATAAATTTATAAAAAGAGATCGAAAGACTACTAAGTATCGTTCGTGATTGTTCCATAATTAAATAGATATGAAAAAATAAAAAGTAAAAATGAAAAATTGGATGATCTAGTGGGATTCTATTTAGATAGAATTGGGGTAAAATAATGGAGGCAAGGTACTTGCCTGGTCGAGGGTGAGTCCTCTTTGCTTCCACGCCGGGCTTCAGCGCTGCGTGCAAGCAAAGCACCAATGTCCGTACGTGCCATAGCAGCATCATTCCTTTGACGATCTTGCGGTGTCGATGATGGGATGCTTGCCGTAGTTGGTGTCGTGCGAGTATCCGTTTCCGATTCCTCTTCCGTTTCGGATTCTGTTTCCTCGGAAGAACTGCTCGTTTCTTCCTCTTCATCTTCTTCCTCGTCATCTTTCTTTTTCGTTGTTGTTTCATCTCTGCTKGATTGCGTCGTTGTTGGTGGTGGTGGAGGTGCTGTACGATTACCTACAAATGACAAATCAAAAAGACCAAGTCCAACTAACTTTAAACTTTACTTTTTCTTTAATCAAACAAAAAAAAAAACAATAATTAACATTGTTATTGACAGGATAGATAAGCGTTGTCTAATCTACAAGGTATGCCTCTGGCAAAAGCACGAAATACAATTCGCTAGATTTTACCTTTATTATTGTATTTGTTTCGTTTACATGAGAGAATGTTCTGTTTAAAAATTCATTTCATTTTTTTTTTTTCTATTTGAAAAGTTTCAATGTGCACTAAGCCAGACAGTTATTTCCACAATAAAAAGAAAAATATTCTTCGAGTAGTACATCACTCTTTTCAATACGAATCAAAATGAAGTGGTTTCTTTGGTTTTGTCACACGCGTTATAACAACGTTTTTTTTTTTTCTTTTTCTTGCCCTTTTTCTTCTCCCATATTGGAGATTTACAAATGATATCGATAGAATATATAGAAAGATAATCACAATATTAAAGATTGTACATGTATATGTCTGAGAGGGGAGATGTCAGATAGAAATTGAAGAGTCACGTTTTATCAACCTGTGCCTAAGAATCGGCTTTGGAAGGGCCTCGTAGCAGGAACACTGCTTGCTGTGGTATCTCTGCCGGAGCTGGCAGTGACCGTACTAGTGGTCGTATTTGTTGGCGGTGCTCTCGACAGATATTTTTGTTTCATTTCCTCAGCGGTGAATGGGGCACCCGTGCTACGAATTCCTGAACCCGTTGAACTTTCCGAACCCGTGCTAGAGTCCGAAGATGCACTTCTTGTTGCAGGTGCGTGGCTGTCGCTTGACGTTCTCCTGTTGGTTCAAACAAATGTACATTTTTTAGTTTTCTTACAAATAAATTTGTTTTGAACTTTACAAGCTCATCTCACAATTCCTGTATATTTTATTCGTGTACATAATTACAAATGTAAAAGATAAATTGTCTTCCAGTTGTGAAAAAAGTTAAACACAACATACGCGTTGGTAAAAGTCAAATGTAAATGTTGCAGTGGTTTTTTTCGTTTCTTTTTTTTTTTTTATAGTTAAAGGGCAAACGGTAGATTCGACCTAATTCGCATTGAAGGTTAGGTTAATACCTCGCAATCGTGGGTGGTCTTCTGACCGCAGCTTCCTCCGGTTCACGCTCCGTTGGAGGTTCTCTCGTTTGTGGATGGGCCGGTGTTGGTGGTTGGGGTTGTCGTTCCTCCACCGTCGTCGTTTCCGTCGTTCCCTGTGGTAAGTTCTTGTTCTGCTTCTTGATCCTGGAAATTTCGTCGTCCTCGCTGACTTGTCTCGCCATTGCCGTCGGTGCTATTCTAACTTGTACCTATACACGTACGTACGAAAGGGATCAACAAGGCTTGACTTTGTTTCTTTTATTCCGAAACATTTTCATTTGCCATTTTTGTTTTTTTTTGTTTTTTCAAGCCCAGGATTATGCGTTGATTTCAGATTTATTCGCGTTGAGTCAAATTCAACGTCGAAGAAAATTTTGTTTGTGTTTCACCTTCCGTTCGATCGTTCAAATTTTCTAATTCTCAATTAGACTAACCTGAGGTTTGGGTGTTTGAGGTTGAGCAGGTTGAGCTGATTCCTCTTTCTTTCTCTTGCCAGCTCTTTCACATTCTTGAAGCTTTTTCATAACCCGAGGTGAATCGGTCAAACGGAAAATACCGGACAATGGTCCTCGTGCAGCATCCTCCGTGTCTAATACTCTCTCTCGTAATCCTGATTCCTGTGGGGTCGACGTGAATCTAACCGTCGATCTTGAATCCCCATCGGAATCATCACCGTCCCGATGCCTCATAAAACGACTTCTATAACGTGATTTATTCCTCGGTGTATCATACTCGGGTGCATCGTATCTGAAATTTCAATAATAAATAATTGTAATCATAATTATTATAATATTAAACCAGTACACAGTGTAAAGGCCTTATAAAATTAAAAAAAAAAAAAAAAATCATATTCCAACAAACGACATGGTCGATAGTTTTGTTTAATAGAATTTGGTCCCAGTGGCGGTGGTGAAACATCACACATGAATCCCATGTGAAAAGTAGAAAGCAACGTGAATAACGTTAATATAACGTGGATGCTACTGCTGCTGCTGCTGCTGCTGGTGGTACTTGCTTGTTCTCGCGGCTTTTAATTTACATTCTGACGAGGCCATTTAACATAACGGCCCTGTTGGCAACGGTCTAACCACGCGAATTACATTAAAACGCTAACAATTAAACGCTCTATGTTACATTCGCATTACTTCGAGTTGATGTGACGACGTTTTAACGACAGTTTGTTCATATAACTATAATAAAAAGAAAGTTTAATCTCGGTGATAAAAGATTTAAACGTGTGACACACCGTTAATTTTTGATTACATCGATGATAACGATAAATCAAAAGAAAAAGAAAAATAGAAAATAGAAACAAATGATGGGAAAAGAAGGAACACGAAGTATGGGATAGGAAAAGATACGTAGAAAAGTCGAATGAAGAGGTACGCGAGCGTATTTATAACTTATGCTGGAACAGATATGTGGGACACTCTGAAAAATATACTCTCTCTTTCTCTCTCGAGCGCCACTTGGCAATGGACCAACGTAATTCCCGTCCGAGCTTAAATACATTTTTTACGAAGCCACGTTCTCGTTAAGTATTTCTCTTCTTCGTCAAATATCCTATATATATATATATATATACGTATACACTAACATTAACAATAAACTAATATGTATAATGCACAGTACAATAAATAGAAAAAAAAAAAGAAAATGAGAGAGAGAGAAAGGTATTAATTTCATCGATGATAAGGATTAAATGTTTGATGATTTATGATCAGAACGATATTTATAATATCTTTCTCTATTTCAAGTTGGATCGAATTCAGGACGATAATTACTCGTATTCAGGAACATATCGATTTCTGGCTAGTCGTTCCTCTTCTTGCTGTCGATACTGCGAAGCTAGACGATGATCGCTCTTACTTCTCATAAGTCCAGGAGAACCTCCTGGCGGTGCTAAACTGCTCGAACTACCTAACAATCCTCCACTTCCGCTTTCCGGTTTGATGTTAAGCTCTCCGTAACCGGCCACGTGAAGAACCAATTGGTTCGGATCATGGGCCATCATGAAACGTACTCTTCTACTATAATCTCCGGCTTCGTATTCGAAATTTCTGAAATTATTATAACTTTATTGTAATTTTAATATTGTGTAATTTTTATTGAATATTTTTAATATAAAATGTTATTGTATACATTCATTTTGCTTGAAAGAGAAGTAAAACGGATGTTTGAAAGAATTCGAGAGAGTAGAAACAAACCTGATGAATTCAACGGTACGTAGAAAGAGTTCTTTCGTATCGAGAAGTTCTGAATCGTCCCAAGGAACATTCTCATTGATGTGTGCTTCTGCCAAATCACAGTTACTTTGGATGTTAGCGATTTCCAATTCGAGATTCTCTTTGAGTTGTATCAGACCACGTAGCTCGGTACCTAAGTACCGATCGACTTCGTTGCGTAGATATTCCGTTCGGTCTTTTAAAGCTTTGCTCAAACGTCTATAAATCTCGTCGACTTCTTCGGCAACCGCAGCACAATTAGTTTGGAGACCCAATGTATTTTTTTCGACCAATGCCAGGGCATCTTGTAACCTGTGGAGACCTCTTCGAACCTAACAAATTAAAAAGAAACAAACTTTTAATTTATCAATTTATCATAAATATTTTTTTGTTCAGTTTACACAAGTTTTTGGAATCGATTGATTGCTATACCCCAATTCCACGGATATAACCAAGCGTGTCTTTATTTTTAGAAATGTGAATTTGATTTGAATTCAATACGTTGTATATGAACCTTTACGTATGCACATACACACACACACATACACACACACAAACACGCTCATAGCGATATTTACATTGCTCTGTTGTTTTCTTGATCGAAATGTCTCTCGTTCTACGAGGTAACCTAACGCTCACCGTTCTCGAAGATGACGTAAAAGAAAGTTCTGGTTCGTATCTCGGTTCGTAAGGCACAACAACACTGTTTCAGTCGACGATGGAGTGAGTTCTACATTTAGATCATCCATAGTCCGTTTAACTTTTGCTACGTGTAAGAAAGAATATTTGTTTGATTTTGTATCGTAGAAAATTCCTAGAGGATTGCTTGAACGTACATAATCATTATCGTGCCATTCATGGATCGGAACCACTTCAAATTAATTCCAAGGTATACGAATAACTAATTATTTCATTATCTAAATAATATATTTTTGGTTTTACTTTTTTCTTTATATAGCTGAACGAATATGCAAATGTATGGGCAACTTATTTGGCGAAGAAAGGTGATATCACTCGAAGAAAAACAATGCCTTACGGTGAGAATGTTTATATTGTTTACGAGGAAGATGTTAGTCGATCAGGACCTGTCATAGATGCAGTTGATTCTTGGTTAGTCTGTGGTTATTTAATGTTCACATTATTTGGTTTAATATAATCCAATTAATGAATTGATATGAATAGGTACGAAGAAAATAAATATTACAAATACGGAGAATCTCAAGCAGATAATTTAAAGGTGGTACGTCATTTTACGCAGCTGGTATGGAAGGGTACGAAATTTATGGGACTCGGAATGGTCACTACTCCAACCGGACAGATCTATATTGTCTGCAACTACGATCCTCCAGGTAATGTCAAAAACGAATTTGCCGAAAATGTGTTACCACCGAAGGAACAAGAACAGGAAATGGTGGTGGAGAAGGAGGAGGAGGAGGAAGGGAAGGAAGGGGAGGAAGAGGAGAAGGGGGTAAGTCGACAGGAGATTTTCCTTCGTAAACGAGTCTTCATAAAATACACGTGCGAGAAGGAAGCTTTGTTGAGCATCCCTCCCTTTAACTTCCTTTAACCATAAGTTTTTCTTCTTTTCTATTTTTTTTTTTTTTTTTTTTTTTTTTTTTTAACATTATTCCCACTTTAGCAGTCGTTTCGCTTCGTGAAAAGAAGTTTTAGGATGGTCCCGTTTAAAGTACCAACAGTATGTTACTTTCAGCAAGCATACGTGAAAATAGAATTTACGTTATACATCACTTTATTCAACGGATATACTTTTCTACCTATTTAGCCAGAATTTGTTGCCCATATTCTGCAATGCGGTATAATTCGTATAACTTTCCTTTACGCATCCCCATTCGCGTTGTGTGTGTCCTTTATTATTGTTACTTCGCGTACATCTGTTTTTTCTCCAGAAAAATAATACAACAAAATGAGCTTTATCCGTATTACACGACACGTGTAATGTTTCTTAATAATTTAGCACTTGGAAAATGTGATATACAACGTAGTATATTTTTTCAGTCGTTACTTTATGTTTTTTTTTTTTTTATATTTTATGCGTGTGTCAAAATCTGTAATATTTCTTACTATTAGGTATGATCGTTATTTTAGGAATAAAGTGAAATTTTTATGAAAATAATAGAAAATGGTCAGTGAATGAAAATAATCATGATTCAGGAAAGATATAGATAGGTTCTGTCGATAGATATTTCGTCGTTCATCCATGTATACGATGACGTACTTTGCAACAAACAGAATGATTGCGAGGTCCGCATTAGGCAATTGGAGATTAAATTCTATCCACGATTCTGTTCGAGCATTCGAGAAGCACATCGCGAAAAACTTGGACGTATCGCAAATTTTTGACGTTGCAATTTTAGACGTCCTCCAAATGTCTTGGCAAAATTTTCACGAGATATACACACGATTTCGTTTCTAATGATTTCGTAAAAATCGAATCTTTATTTTCCTGATCATTTTATTTATTGTTTTTGCTAGAAGTCATGTAGAGAGTAATAAATTGCAAAATATTCGTAAAGTACGATTGCTAAAAATACATTTCATTTAATTTTTATTTAATATCATCATCATCATCATTCCTATCTAAATATTTTAATAGTATATTGCAGTTATATTTAAAAGATTACTGGATTAGGATAATCTAATAATTATTTTTGAAATGATGACGATAATCTAAAAATACAATTTTATGATTGAATTAATTCAAAATATAAAATATATATATATATATATATACATACCTGAGAGTTGATACGCGTAATTTCTCGTCTGAGAATATCCATATGTGCGTCCTTGCATTCAGGACAACATTTCTTCTCACAATGGACGCAGAGGGAACAATAGCTCTTTTCGGAGCAGACACCACATCGTTCCATAGTCTGACCACTGGTTGGATCTGGTAATTCCCCGGTGATCTCTATGTGTAACTCCAAAAATCGTTGTAGCGTCACGTTGGTGGGAAAAGCTTGAACACCCTGCTCAGTGGTAACGGAGATTAGCATTAACGATCGGAACTTATGTACTACTATTTCATTGGTTAACGTTTTATCCAATTTTCTATCTATTTACCTACATATATGTAGAGTTATTTGTTAAATAAACATTTCTTAATGGATTTTTCACAAACTTTTATTCAAATCTTTTCAAAATTCCAATCAACGTGAAACTGTCATTGAAATTTATCAAACATACATACAATTTGTTCTTTGTCAAATATATAAATGATGAAACAACAAATTGTTAAAACAAAACTAATAGAAATAATATTCAAGTATTATTTTCTCTTCTATTTGCGTGGATCTTTCTATTATGGTGGAATATTCAGGGTGGAAAAGGGATTTTATTTGCATCGATGGAAGATAAAGTTCGACGAGCGTAAAACACCTGCTCGCGAGAGTATACTCGCCATGCGAAATCAGATTAATAACCCGCTTTGACGGCTTAATGGTATTGATCATAGCACCGACGAGGTATATCGATGGTGATCGGTAGGAGGCTCTTATGCGGTTTGCCGAAACACTTTTTGACGGCTTGTTCAAAATATCCGAGCTTGGCTTGACAGAACAGCTTTTCAAATATCCTTCTCTTCTTTCTCGTCATTCTTTCTCAAAACAACTTTATTGAATTAACATGGTAAATCATGAAAAAGAAAATTTAATGAATGAAAGGAACATTTTCTTTTCTTTGTCGGGTTTGAATGTCATATTTTTATGCATTTCAACGTCAGTAAAAATTAGAAAGATTGCATTGAATAACACGAGATACAAATTAGCTAATATTATTAAACATTATTCACGAAGTGAAGACTTTGATATTTATTAGAACACACTCTCTCTTTTCCTTTTGAAAAAAGGAGAGAGAAAGAAAGACAAAAAAAAAAGAGAAATTGAGTATATTTATTCGCAAAGCTAATTGCAATAATCGCATAAGTTTAATTATGTTTTCAGATAGAGAGTCCTCTTGTAAAGTAATTAATAAGTGTTCACGTTGATTGGTAATTAAAGTATGAGAGTCATTTAACCCAATTATCCGAGTTAGTGAACAGCGATTACGTTTAAATGGCGATGTTAACGTTAACATGATCAAACTGGTTTAGCCAAAATCGATACCTACACATATACACGTATATACATATTTGTACGCGATGTATATATGAAAATGAAGATTTTTGGTATTTACAAAATATCATAGAATTTGATTATATTTTTAAACGATCTTTAAAAAATACAAAAATAGAGATAGACATGTAACGAAGAGATAAGGATAGAATCGTAATCGATGTTTACTTTGAAAGTTGCAATTATCGAAGAAGATATCGAATCGATATAGGATTACGTTGGTAAAGCTAAGCTTCGAACGGCTTTTCTGATCGGAATTTTCGTTCGGGCAATATGCCAATGTTCGTTTTAACGACTCAACTGTATCTCGATCGAACGAATTGCTAGTTTTTTTTTCTTCTTTTTTTTGAATACTAAGCTCGTAATAAAATATGTTGGTCATTGGTGTATGAATGCATCTATTTACGTATCCTTCGAGCATTAACACATTTATAATTAAATCAATTTAATTCGATTATTTCAATTTGTTTAGATGAATTTTATTTAAAATTCTATTATAGTCAATGTTATTATCTAGATGACTAATGATAATTATTTATGTCTCAACTAATGTACATAGTGTGTGGCTATTTATCAATGAATGTATTTATGTATGTACATACACCAATACCAATGAATTAATTTAAAATTTTTACTATCGTGTTATCTTTTTTATTTAAATCGATGACGTAGATGCAGAACACAAATTGTACAGTTGAAAAATATTACAGAACTCGTATTGGGTTGTTTAAAAAGTATGTTGACCGGTATATTGCAAGTGTCAATTACATATATGTAAAGTTATCTAGGTGTCTAAGCTTACCTGATAAGGTATACGATGTTCGGCACGACATTCCGGACATTTGACCTGTCGACGAACATAATCGACCAGACCATCCATGCACGGTTCCATGCAAAAGCTGTGCTGGCATGGTAAAAGCTTTGGGTTTCTGTAGCGGTCCAGACATATCGCGCACGTTAGCAGTTGCTCGAACTGCTCCATGCCTGTAAAATAAGAACGCTATAGTTTTCCTCAGTAAAGCTCATCCTAGCACGGATCACGAGAGACTGCACTCGGCTTATTTGCAAGCCACGGAGGGTAGAAGATTCTTCTTCTCTCCTCCGACGCGCATCCGATACTATTTTAATACCAAGTCAGAATGCAGTGTCATGTAGTTTAACAAATAATACGTCTTCCCACTTCGCGACAATTCCATTTCTTTCTTTTTATTTCTTTCTTTGATTTTTTTATTTTGTTTCTCAAAAAAAGATTCTTACAGTTACGTGAAATGCGAAGAATTGGGCCAAGCCGTAAAGAAACCAACCCCTAACAATAAAAAAAACTAATCCTATCATTTTTTTGTCTCTCGATTTTCAATTTTCTGCACAGCTTATCCCAATTATAATTTCAAGCTGTACTAAGATGAAATAATAAATAATTAATGTTTTTTTTTCTTTTTCTTAATAAATTAATTTATATAATTAAATATAATTAAATGATAGTATACAAGCTCTGACACATTTTGGTTAATAGTTTCATCATATTAACGACGTGAGTAAGATGTAGTATATGATCTAAAAGGAAAGGAAAGGAAAGTTTGTCATCGTTAATAAATAGTTTATGCTTGAAGACTGTAATGCAATCTTACACATACATGTATAGATGAAAATGTGAGACGAATTACGGGTTCATATCGTGCCAAAGTAAATCTTTGAATACCTATATACAATGCATATATAGAAACATGTTCTCATCTAAACGAGTGGGTTCTAAGAGTAAAGTCAAATCTAATCCTTGACTAGATAATGAATAATTCTAACAAGAGATCACTATGACGTTCGTATTCCCTCGTGCTTTCTAAACGTAGGCCAAATAAAAGACACCAATACAATGTCAAGATCTTATTCTTCTTCTTATTCTTCTTCTTCTTCATCATCATCATTCGCAAAGTCGTTGCACTTCTATTTTCAGGTACGATGCATCAGCGAAGTTAAGTTAGTAGTTTAGAGTTCTCTGTCTCTGTTTCTCAGACAACGTGCTTGAGAACTCGAAGGGCGTACTTCGAAAGTTCTTGAATTGCAAATTAGACCTCGTGGAACATTCGTTGAACAATTAGACTACGTTAGGCTAAGAAGTTTGTCTTCGGATTCGACATCAAAGTGTGCACCATATTCACCACCGCCCCGAACGATCAGCTTCTAAAGCCCTTCGACAACGATTTACATTATGTTTAGTGATTGGAACCCCGCTTTATCGATATATGTAAGACAGAAATTCAATAAGGATGAAGAAAAAGAGATAAAATTAAATTCAATTTGATTAAGGTGACAAGTTGTTGTCAGATAAAATGAAAGAAAAGTTTCCTTTTCCTCAATTAGTCTTCAGGATGATTCGTAAAGTTAAAACAGTTGTATTTAAAAATGACTATCACGTAGACTCTCATCAATGAGAAATTTTGAAGTTTCGGAGGAATGGAAGGTGAGGAAAGAAGGTCGGATATAAAAACAGGAAGACACGTTCGAAATATAAATTGTTCGACTTCTCGTATCGTAAAGAACTTGCCAATCAGATTCGATCTTTTCTTTGATTGCACGATCTCTTGGACTTATTTCAGGTTTGACCTCGCGACAAGCATTCGCCGTTGGGTTTTTTATTTGTCGTTTGAAAGCAAAGGACGACGCACGAAATCGACGCCGACACCGACGCCGACGCCGACGCCGACGCAAACGTTTCTTCTATCGTCACGAAATATTTTTCATTCGTACGAATTTAACCTTTCCGGTTCGTCGGAAGTCACCCCCAACCCAACGTGAAACCTTTTTTTATAGATGATCCAAAACGACTACAATTTTGTTCTTCTGTATTTTTGTTTTTTAATATATATTATTTTATTTATCGTTTCCGTTACGTTGAAAGCTTTAGCAACGTTTATTCAAATGATAAATACGTTTTTTATTTTGGATTTCGTTCGATATTTAACAAAGTGTTATTGGTCAAAGAGATTGACTCTTTGTTCGTCACGTTTCAAACGTTAAGTTTTCGGATATCTGGTGGGTCCTTTGTTTCGAGACAATGCTTTTCTGTTTGATGGAAAATTACAAATAGATTTTCCGGCCAAGCTTCTTGGCATTCTCCTGGAACCGAACATTTGTCGCTGATCCATCAGTTACCTTTTACTCTGCTACGACCGGACATTTATTAATAGTCTTCTACGAGACTCGAATAACAACAAGGTCCGTGTTAAATGTTTCAGAACAAAACGCAAAATGGCCAAATTTTATCCAAAGTATACATACTTATAAATGAGATATGATTTTCTATGAAGTTTTATTTTCAAAAATATCTTTCAACTAACTCAACAAATTTACGTGAAACAATTTATTCTAATTAATTTAATAAATAAAATTATGATCGAGAAGTCTAGTTGATTTTAACTATTTCTTGTTAGAAACACGGTGTGTTTTTGACGTCAAAGGTCGTTTTGACGATTGGAAGAAGCCAAGGGTCAGAATGGTAAAAATAGCCGACAAATTAGGTGCCATTGTTATCGTCAAACGTTCCACTTGTTGATCTCTAAGTAAATGCTGTTTTTTCCTTTCTTTCTTTCTTTCTTTCTTGCTTGCTTTCTTTCTTTCTATGTTTATTCTTTCCTTTCTAAAGTCCAATAAAGAAAACAACGACCATGAACATCGTTCAAGTATGAAATATTGTAATGACTTTTGCAACAAGCTGTTAACGATGCATATTTCTCAGTTTTCCTAATCGAGAACAAGTTTATAACGCATTTGAGTTATTTCCGTAACAACGGAAATGTAAATTTACATTGTTCGAGGAAAATTAGCAAGCGATCCACACGGGGTAGCATTGATGCGGAGAAAATTCATTCTCGTTTGGGAACTAATTGGGGTAGGAAGGCAGGAAGGAAGAAAGGAAGGAAGGTATGAAGGGTGGTTTTGGAGAAATGAGTAAGTCAAACTTAATTACAAAGTCTAATCGATAAATATTTTATTAATTTTTCGTATATTTCTCTCTCTTTTAATATTTTCTCATTTCAATTATTTTCTATCGTCTTTCCTTCGAATGATATTTTTTTAAATTAAACAACGACTACCTTGCAAACATTTAACTCCTCTATAATACTTAAATATTTTCTTTTGTAAAATTAGGTACCTTAAAATTTGTACTTGTTGTTTTATTTGGATCATAGTACAAAAGAATTACCTACATCATTGTTTAGCAAACGACTTTATAAAAATGTTCAGGACGTGAATTTGATTTGTTTTTTTTGTTTTTTTTTTTTTGTTGGGCTAACATAAAAGGTCCTTTATTCATTTAATTCTCAAGGGTGAACGCACGTCGGATGTCACATCGTGCACTCTCGACAAGAAGAAGGAACGTTTTTACTTATCCCCGTAGCTCTCGCTGCTCACGTTACTCACGTTACTCTTTTCTCTCTGGGGAAATACAATCGCGAAGAGATTTTTCCTTCGGGCACTGTGTTGTACTTACTACAAAGAATGACCTTGGCTGTTGTGCCTTATTTTACTGCACAACCACACGACTATAATACTCATCTCTCGTTTTCTTTGTTTTCTCGTTTTCTTTCTTTATACACACGTTGGATTACAAATTATTTTCTTTGACGCTTAACTCCTCTTCCACTTGTTTCTCTTGTTAGTTTTTTAAATTCCCTTGTCTTGCCTTTTCTTCTCGAAACATCACAAAGATCACTAAAGTTGTTCGTACTCGTGAAAGTTGAACGTACGAAAAGAGAAGGAAAGAAAGAAAGAAAGAAAGAAAGAAAGAAAGTAGGTAGGGGTATTGGGGGGTGGGTGGGTGGTTGTTCGTCTTTATGTCGGATGATCTGGAAGAGCAAAAGAAAACGAAGGAATTTCTTTTCTAACCGCGTTGCCGTCCGCCAACGTCAAACGACGCATACTAAAATAGTCACGTGGTATTCCAATTTCGTGGACTGTCTTCAACCTTACCAAAACCTTTTCTTCCTTTCCTTTCTATTTTTTTTTTTTTTTTCAACGCAAGCATTAGCAGTCATCAACTTTCCTACTCACCCTAACTTTTATTTACATATTATGAAATTTAGATTAAATTAAGGCCAGGTTAAGGGTGCCTTTCTTATTTCACCCATTAACATCCTCTACTCGTTTTTAATTTTTTTACACCTTTCTCTCCCTATCCAATGCTATACAGGGTGATTCAGCAATTTTCCCTTTGTCTTAGTTTCTCCTCTTTTCTTTTTATTTCTTTCTATTTAAGAGAGAGAGAGAAAGAGTTTGTGGTTTGTTTAAATCGTTGAGCACTTTTATCTCTTTTTCTCCCCTCGAGTAGGTAAATTGCTGTAGATTAAGAGAAACGCTTAAGAACAATAGAAAAGGGAAAAGAGTTCTTCAAGCTTTCGTGAGCTTTTGTTGTAGGACGTTAGCTTTCTTTTTTATTTTAACGCTTCAACTTATAAATTGTTCATTCATGAGAATAACGTGATTTTTATATCAATTTTTTTTACAATCAACTTGAAAATCTTACTTTTATTATCATTAAAATGTATGAAATAATGAATTATAATTAAGAAGAAAAAAAATGTTAGATTTATTTTAATCGTAGTATTGCAAGTGTTAGAAATATTTTCGATCGATAGATCATTAGAGGCTTGAGAAAGGGTGAATAGAATTGTAGGTGAAAGCTAATTGCGCGTACATACCCGTTACTCTGTTTGTCCTATACGGTTCCTTGTTCAAACTTAACCCACCACCACTAATACCAGCACCAGCACCAACACCAGGACGCTTTGTCTGAGGGATTCAGGACCGAGATTTGAGCTCGTAGAACATATACAAACTATCGATTTGCAAATTTGTACAAAGGGAGATTCGTATAAGGTTCGGTGTTGTATACAAGCGAACTTTAGAATAACGCGAAAAAGGGTTATGTCAAAACTATTACAAATTTGTGTTGCGTCTAATTTACAATTGTATAGAAAATAAAAATC